AACGGAGACCTGTTGAGCTTAAGCCCAGCGGCACGACGAGGATCCGTGCCACAGCACGCCCCTGCACCGCAGAATTGTCTACGATACGTTGTCTGTAAGGCCTTTGATTTCATTTGTCGGCGGCAAAACACGACGAAGAGCGTGGCAAAAATTGTTTGAATCACGCGTATGTGTTGTCCATTTCAGCCTTTATCGCGCTGCATATTTGTGGAAAGTAGGCTTCTCTATTTAGAATGTCTGCTAGTTCCGTCCGGTCATGTACCGGTGTGTGTCTTTGTCACCGCAATGATGTCACCGACGACGTCATGTGCAGACGCCACGTCCTGCCGCCGCCTTTCCGCTGATAGACGCTGTTTTCCCTTTTCGTAACGGAAGTGAGCCTATGGACTGATTTAGAACTTATTGGGATCTACTGTCTGCTGTCTGCCTCGTGTTTAGCGTCGTATGGCCGAATCGTATGTTTTACGACCTTGCATTCTACAGTGAAAGGGATTAAAAGCTCAGGACAATCGCCACCGAAGCTGCTTTCGATCTGTAGTGGTGGTCGTCCGAAAAGCCGGGGCTGTCACGACGTGATGAAGGCCACACATGTGTAGGTTACTGAGGCTCAAACTAGTACTCGAGGGCGTAGGGTATTACCTCGTCCAGGTATACGTGGATTGAACACCAACGGCCTGGCGAACTCGACAATTTTATCTGAAATAATCACCAATATGACGTTATTGCGCCGTATGACGATACCGCGACTGGCAGTGTTCTGCGCATGCGCCGTACTCCGCAGTGGCTGGGGCACGGGGCCAATGAGTAATGGCTCTATCCACGAATGAAACTATTGTTATGTTTTGCAAAGGAAATACAGCATGTTGCTTGTAATGAAAAGATGAGGCAGAGGCGTGGGGCTATGACACGGGAGGCTGGATAGCTGGTGGTGGTGGTTGTGGTGGTGGTGACGCGGAACAGGGCGTGGCACGGTGAGGTGTTGGACTAGCGGCACAACGGCACCGCAGCGATAGCTAGGCAGGGACAGTTTGTTGTCCCTCAAAGCGGACGCTCACCCGCATTGTGTGTGTGTTTTTTTGTGTGCTTTGGATGCAACACCAAGCTGTTTCCGCCTCATGATCTGCGTCCTTTCTTGGAGTCATCCGACAACGCGGGGGCTGTGCCGACCGGTGTGGGCGCGGTGTGGGCGCCCCGTCCCGTCTGTTCTCGCGGTCGCCGCTGCCGCACGCACTGTCAGCGTCTCGTCGGCGTCTCGCAGCCCGGTAACGCTGACGTCCGCTCTCCAGGCGATGAAACGGACGCCGGCCAGGGCGGCCGGGGCAGGGCCCGAGCAGACGCCCATCCAGGGCACGGTCTGCTTCGACCAGGCTACGCTGAAGAAGAGGCTGACGCCCCTGCAGCACCAGATCACGCAGGATAAGGGGACCGAACGGTGAGACGGGGGACTGGACGGCTCCAGATCACGCGGGATAAGGGGACCGAACGGTGAGACGGGGGACTGGACGGCTCCAGATCACGCAGGATAAGGGGACCGAACGGTGAGACGGGGGACTGGGCGGCTTCAGATCACGCGGGATAAGGGGACCGAACGGTGAGACGGGGGACTGGACGGCTTCAGATCACGCAGGATAAGGGGGACGCGAACGGTGAGACGGGGGGACTGGGCGGCTTCAGATCACGCGGGATAAGGGGACCGAACGGTGAGACGGGGGACTGGACGGCTTCAGATCACGCGGGATCAGGGCACGGCACTGTGAGACAGGAGAATGGACGCCTTGGAATCACGCAGATCAAATGGACGTTATGAGACAGGGGACTGGGCAGCCTTAGATTCACGTGGGGCAGTGGCGCGGGGCTGTGAGACAGAAGACAGAAATCATCAGGTGGTGGTCACAGAAGACGCACTCGCCACCTGGAGGTGGTGATTCGCGCGCCATGACCCGCGTGATCACCACCCACCACAGGCCGGTGGTGGTGATCACGCGGGACATGGCGCGTGACAGTCGGAGTTGACTCGGTGGTACAGGATCGATGACTGTTGGAAGGGGCTTGGTCATGCCCAACGGTTTCGGTGAGGGTGACAAGGCAGGTGCTGACGGGATGGTGGGGGATCAGGGTGGCAAAGGAGCTATCGAGATATCAAAACGAAACTTCGCACAAGCTTAAGGCAACCGAACCTTACCAACTAAACGAAGGCAGCTTGGTCGTGTACCCAGGCTGCCTCAGGCTTTTTACTGCCGTCGGCCGAAAATGTGCTGACGAGCTGAGAGTCTGTGGAGCGTGTGTTCCACAAGGTTGGCTGTGGTCGGCTGTTGGGGCTTGGCATCGGTACTGGGGCCGACGTACGCAACAGCTGAGACAGGCTATAATCGCGCCGCCTGCGTCTCACCTTGGTGAGGGCGGCACTGTGGGCTATGAAATGTGGTGCTTAAACACATAGTGAGACTACGGAGCTACTGGTACAACTCATGCTGGCGTTGCATGCGGCTGAAAGCTTTATTTGCAGGTGACTATCGTAGTGGTGTGTCAATCTCTTCCACCCCCGCTGTAGCCAATCTGCCCCGCACGATATGGTATCGCTGTTCTAAATCCGGTATTTGCCACCTTTACAACGGCCAGGAAAGAATTTGGACAAGATGAATGGAAGACTGGGAATCGTCTGCGTATGCTTTCGGTGCATGCGATAACTTGTGTTAAGGGCTCAGAACTGGTCTGCTCACTCGCCCCACTATGCTCGCGTTCCCGCCAGCCTCGCTCTCACCAAAGCCACACTGACCTGAGTGGTCTCAATGCTCCCTTCCCTCCCAGCTCATCTGGTAGATGCCTCGTACCCTACCTATTCGTAGCCTTCTTTAATTTGTCCTTTCAACCCAAAAACGAGGGCTGTATGATTGGTCAATGGAAGCCAATCGCGAGAATGAACCCAAGGCGACAGTGCAATGGCGTTCAATGGCACATTAGAATAACCGGTCAAAAATTGTCATATCAGATTGAATTACTCCACATGGGTGGTAGCGTAAGGGTCTCTCATAGCCGTGTTGAGCAAAAAACCCTGAACCACAAAGCCATCCGCGCAGACAATTGGTCAAATTGTTGACGCTAATGTCCACTCGACCTGTGCTTCCGCGGTGGCCTTGTGATCGTCACTTCGGCTGTGTTAGAGCCCGATCCGCGGTGGCCTTGGATCGTCACATCGGCCGTGTTAGAGCCCGGCCCACAGTCACTATGTGTGCGGCTCATGATCAGTCACTCTTGTCACAGTCGGCCACCCACCGGCTGCCGACACAGCACGTTGGCGGCTCATCATCAGTCACTCATGTCAGAGCCGGCCACCACCGGCTGCCGACACAGCACGTTGGCGGCTCATCATCAGTCACTTTTGTCACAGTCGGGCCACCACCGGCTGCCGACACAGCTCGTTGGCGGTTCAATCATCAGTCACTGTTGTCAGAGTCGGCCACCACCGGCTGCCGGCACAGGGCATGCCGACTTCCGTTAACGGACGACCTACTTGTTACGAAATGCTCTGGGTCCTGACCTTACCCGTCAGCTGACGCCCTTGGGATCAGCTCATCCGGCGTCGAGAACGATGGGTGTACCGCTGCGTGTTCTAGCTCAATCAGCGTCGAGAACGATGGGTGTACCCGCTGCGTGTTTCTAGGTCAATCAGCGTCGAGAAAGACGGCTGTATCGCTGCATGTTTCAGCTCAAGAAACGCCAAGAACAATGGGCATGCCGCTGCGTGTTTTAGCTCGACCAGTGCAGGAGGCGATGGGTGTACCGCTGCGTGTTCTAGCTCAACCAGCGCCGAGAACGATGGGTGTACCGCTGCGTGTTCTGAGTTCGTTCTGACCCCTCAGGGCGTTCTCGGGTCGGTTCAACAAGCACCGCGAGCCGGGCGTGTACCGCTGCATAGTCTGCAGGCAGGACCTCTTCTCCTCCACCACCAAGTACGACTCTGGCTCCGGCTGGCCCAGCTTTTATGACGTGCTGGACCGCGCCGGATCACCCTGAAGGCCGACTTGTCTCATGGTCAGTGGGAGGTGTCGCCACCATGATGTTTACTGATTTGGCTGCCACAGTCTGTAGATTACGCACGTTTTTTCAGGATGGCTCCATATTGTGCGTCACTAAAATCAGCAATGAATGGAAGTGAATGGGACGGTGAAATGCTCATGAGATTCATGAAGATAGAGTGATTTAGCTATCTTGCTCGTTGTTTGTCGCGATATGTACCATCTTGTCGGTACCTGGTCTGATCGCTTTTCGCGTTGGTGTTAGGTCCGCAGTTCTTCATCCCGGGGCCTGCTTGGCGTCCTGACGTTCCACTGCCGACTTAATGATAACGATTTTCACCATCCGTCTTCATCACCGATGTGGGTAGCGGTGATCACAGGCCCCGTGCGGCGTGCTCGGCCATGTCCTCTCCCGACCTCAGTGCTGTATCGCTCTGATCGCCTCTGAGGCCTGATCGCCATGTGACACGGCACCGTCGCCCATCTCACGTGCTCTGGCTGGCTCCAGTCGGCGGCAATCTCCTGCTGCTGGTGGCCAACCCGGACATGGAGCGGATGGAGGTGGGCTGCGCCCGCTGCGGCGCCCACCTGGGCCATCTCTTCAAGGACGGCCCCAAGCCCACCGGCAAGCGCTTCTGCGTCAACTCAGAGTCGCTCGACTTCCGACGCGACGACTCGATTGATGTCGTCGACGGCAAGGTGGAGTTCGCGCGGGGCGTGTGCGAACTGA